CGAGACACGGGAACATGTTCCCCGTGATGCACCCAAGTTAGATACGAAGATGCCATGCCTCTTCAGATCAAGTGCATCCACACAACTTGTCTGCTATATTTTGTGCCATTAATGCAATCGACACACGGACACCTAATTTCATCCTCTACGCCTAAATTTGCCGTAGCAAAATCAAGGAATGACTTCACCCCTTGTTGACACTCTTTACTTATCAGCCTATTATTTATCGTCATCCAACTCTTGTCCATTTTGTCACCTACAACTCACACAAAGATTAACCGAGGAACAAATGAGAACATGCATTTCAAGTTGAGATAGATTATGTTGTTTTTCATTCACTGTTTGGCTTGTCACATAAATCTCTTTTAGGGTGGAACTTTATGACACGATTTGTTCTAAAACAATGCGTAATTATAGAAGTTAATTTAAGAAATGACCCGTAATTTTGGACCACTAGATAGCATAACTAGTAGAGCACTAGTAATAGTGAAACCATATGGTCAATAATAGAATGATATATCAAAATAATCAAAACCATTTTATTATGAATACTACTTTTATATAAAATGATATAGTTTATTATGATTTCTTCATTTACTATTATTCTGTAATTTATAAAATAAAATAAAAGAAAACTATTCACATATCAGTCTCGATATATTTTATAAATTATATATATTTACAAATCATTTTCTTTTAGCCAAACAAAAAAAAAAGTGTAAAATGAATTTTTAGTATGAAGCAATGCTTCAAAAACACCAAATAATTTTTGATTGGAGGCTCTTTGAAATTGTGGAATACCAAAATTATAACCAATAAATCTACAAATATAGCTGCTTGAATGAGTCGCTCTCCTTGCCTCTCATTACGTATTTGTTTGGTGAATCCTCAGTTACAGATGCATTTCAAAAAATAAATGCATAGTTCATGTGAGAGTGATTTATCATTATAACTTGGCAGCCTTGCATTGTTCATACACACAAATCAGCAAAAAGTGTCCTAGTACCCAACCATCTCTTACATAGAGCATAACATGACTCATAGACAGATCAGTTCATATATACACACACATTTTAATATATACAGTCATACATGAACACATATAGTCACACACACACTTCTTCAGTCACACATGATCCGAACCGTTCATTATATATTAGTTTAACTGGTAAAATGAATGATTGAGAGTTGAAGTGGAAAGGGAGCTGGAGATGAGCTTTACACCGAGAGTAGCAAGTTGTTAGGTGTAATAACAATTAGTGGTGAGTTAGGACTTGAGATGCACAACAGTAACTGTTGTGCGATTTCTTGAGTTCATTTTAGATCCTATTTTGATAATTCAAATTGTTTACTTTTTAGAATATATCAGTACAACATTGATATAAAAAAATCAAATTGATCAGATATTAATAATAGTTCTTTAATCAAATCACATATGTATTAAGTTTTATTCTTAAAATCGAACTTATCATTCAGTTTCTCGTTAGTTAATTAAATTTTATATAAATATATTGTACTTGATGTAATTTAAAAAATAAACGATTGAAATTATCAAAATAAGATTTAAAGTGAACCTAAAAGGCTACACAATGGCAGCCACCCTGACTCCACTGAGTGAAAACTTAAATTTGAGTTAGTTAAAATTCTGAGTCAAAACATTTTAAACCTTACTTAAATCTTGAATGAAAACTTCAATTTGAGTAAGTTAAAATTCCACCCACTCATTTATTGACATCTATACAAAATTTAGTTGTACTCTAATTTTGAGTCAATTCAAGGGAGATACATCCCTTTTTACTCAAATTTCTATGCAATCAAAGCTTGACACAGTTGCTATTATCCAAAATTTTCAAATTATCGTTCACTCCAATTCCTAGCTACAACCACTCAAAACTTGACAATTTGGACTTAAATTTGAAATTTTCCATTGAAATATAAAACCTCATAATATTATAATTTTTTACTCAAACTCATACCTCATTTTCAGTAAAACTACAAAGGGTTGGAAATAGATTTAGAAAAATAAGTGGTATGGATAGGGTTAGTGATGGGCTACTGAAGATGGGGAAGAAATGCAAAGGAAGAAGAGAGAGAACAAATAGAGCAATTCCATCTTAGAAAATAAAATAGTGAAAAAAAAAAATCTATATATATAAGATCATCGCATATGGTAAATGGTTGGCCTAATTTCATCATTTCTGTAAGTAGTACACCCAAATTGATAACATTGGCCTAATTTCGAAAACATCTCAACCCAAGCATTGCCCTAAATTTTAATTTCAATCACAATGCCCTAATTTCCAGCATTCACATTCTGATTTTTGTGTGTGTGTATATATCGCATATGTATGTATGTGTGTGTGTGTGTAAACAGAGAGAGACCGAAAGAGAGAGGGAGATACAGAGAGAGGGAGAGACAGATGCGAAATGGAGGACATACCTGGGAGGGAGACTATGCGATGATCCTGATGAACTTGCGGTGATGGTGATTTTTGTACAAAGCTATAGAGAAGAGGGCAGAGGCGTGAGTGAGACCCAATCAAAAACTAATGTAAACAGCGAGTGAGAGAAAGATGGAAATCGATAGGCCATACAGAGAAAGGGAAACTAATCGAGAGGGAAATAGGGAGAGAGAGAGAGAGAGGCGAAATAGAGGACATACCTGGAGGGAGGCGAAATGGAGATGGAAACAGCGCAAGTGACAGAGGCGGGAGTGAGAGAAGGAGGGAAATAAAACCACGAAATGTTTATTCCCGACCAAACTTTATTTTGGTCGGTAATATATTTATGAAAATTAAATATTCCCTCCAAAATCGATTTTGGCCCTTTTGGCTACTGAATTGTAGTCGGAAAAGAAAACAGATTTAGCGACCAAATTTTAAATAGTCGCCCAAACCCTATTTTGCACGACTAGCACACATTTGTAGCCAAAAAGTCATCAATAATATCTCCGAAAAGGTTCTTTTCCACGACTAACACAGAATTAGTAGCGAAAAATTAAATTAAAACCAATGAAAAAAATTTATAATTTATAATGACAATGCAATTACCGACCAACATCATCTTTAGTCGCCAAAAGTGAAGACAATTCCGACAACGTGTATATTTAGTAGCAAAAAAGTGGTCTTTTACCGACCAAAAAGGTTTGGTAGCTGATGCATGTATCTTTGGCGACCAAATGTTGTTTGGTAGCTAATTTGTCCACCATTGGTGACCAACTTTATTTTAGTAGCTAATTGGTAGACATTTGGCGACTAAATTTACTTTAGTCGGCAAAAGTTGTCGCCGAATGTGTTCTTTGTTGTAGTGAATCTTAACAATTACCATTTTGAAAGAAAGAGATGTGTTAAGAATATTTATTCTCATAGAAATGAAGATGTTTATTGTGTAAACTTCTTTTTTATTTTGAAAGCAATGATAGATATTTTTGTGTAAGTTTTTTTTTTGTTTTTGTTTTTCTTTTAAGTAAATTCCTATTGATTAGCGAGATAAAATATATAGTATATTTTTATTATGGAAAACAATTCCTTAAATCATATGTATTTTGAAATTTAAATTTCTAAATGATAGGTGAATTTAATAAATTTTTTATTGACTATAATTTTAATTTTTAATTTTTAATAGCCAATGATGTTTTTTTCTTTTTAAAAAATAATCAAAAATCAACATAATTAGATTGAAGTTTTAAACTCCTAGAGCTCTTAAAATTAAAAATCACATTTCCTTTATAACAGTATAGATAACTATTTTAACTTTCGGTGATACTGCATGCACCAATTGATATAGTAATTAGTATACCAACATATATTATGAAATTATTACTAATCTCACCCATTATATAAATTACAAATACCTAAAACCTCCAAAATTATATCACATTATTTATTTATACATTAATTAATATATCAATTAATACATAGAGCATTATTCTTTAACTTTTGTGAGAAATTTTTGAGACTTTGAGGGGCACTTCTTTAAAAGAAACAAGGATCCAACCGTACATGAGGGATATAGCACTAGTTTGGTGTTTCCCTATTCTACAACAATTTCCGGCAAAAATCTTTGGAATGACCCAACTCATGGGATGTTCTTCCCCACCCTCACGCGGAAAAGCTTAAAATTCGTCATTCATGGACGCAATATCTATTTATTACAATTTGTACGTATAAAAATTGAATGATGAATTTTAACAACAATTTTAAGTGAAGAGTTACACGTGAGAATAGTTTTAAAACATGTTAGATATGTTATGAACATAAATCTTAATATTATTTATATGATAATAAATTAGAAAAAATAAGAAAAATATATTTATGCTTCTTCCTCACCCAAAAATTAAAACATTTGTTAAAACAACCGAATTCATTTATAATTAGATTTTATTGATGATTAAAATTTAAATAATTTTCAAAGAGGACCAAAGTCATTTTATAGCCACTCTCTAACACTCAAAAAAATATATATATATATTCCCATATATATATCAGGTTAAATGAGTGGATTTAGAATTTGAAATTTCTTAAAAGTTGGAGTTGATATGGTTCAAGATGATGTTAGGCTAGATTATGTTTGAAATAATATATATTTTCTTATTATTTGGTTCAAGTCCTCAAATTCAAAACCGACTCTTATTGGTATGATATTTTAGAATTATAAGCCCATTTTATCATTCATTTGTTTTGAAGTGGTGAAATCACAATTAATCGTATCATTGTTAAGTGTTGATTGATCTTAAATACGTATCTATACATGATATATATACATGTATATGAGATTTGATTTCGTATAATCCGTCCGGGGGTAATTAAAGAAATAATGGGATAAAGAAGCTAATTAATTAATTCATAAAGACGATATTATTTTGTTAATTAGAATAAAATAAATTGTAATAAAAAGGTTATTTCATGGTCTCTTTATAAAATAATCATATTACAATCAAATAATTTATTTGCAATGTATTTTAAAAAAATCAACACATAAGAATGATGTAAAATGTTCATTTAATTTTAATTTCTTTTCAATAAACCCAACATAAAACAAAACAAAACATAAGAGAGAGATACCAATCTACAATTATAACTTGTACCAATTCATGGTTTTTTCCCTACTCCTATCTTCATCAAAGCTATAACCTTAGAGGAGGATTGTGAATTTACGTGAGATTGATTTGATTTCTACTGATGCTTTGCGAGCATTACACTATGTCACTATCAATGTACCTCCGAACCTCCTCCGCTATCATACGCCGTATCATATTCCTAAGTGCCCGATGATTCAACACCGTCGATCTCTCCTCTCTCTCATCAGCATCATCACCTCTCATGATCCGCGCCTCTTCGTTCTTCTTCACAACCTCACCCCTCGCTGCCTGCGACTCCCCCGGCGGCGATAGCGTCAGCGACGTTTTTGGAAGATCCCGCCGCCGCTCCTCCGCCGCCGCCGCAGCGGCATTGCATTCCACCACCGTCCGAAACCTCATCCGCTTTGCCCCCAACTCCTCCTCCTCCTCCGTCTCCACCACCGAGATCGACTCTTCCGCATCCGCCTCCTTGCTCCGGCGGCGGAGAGTAGAATTCCAATGATTCTTGATCGCATTATCAGTCCGACCGGGCAATTGGCGAGCGATGGTGGCCCACCGGTTGCCGTAAACGGAGTGCGCCTTGAGGATGACGGCGTCCTCCGCCGGAGTAAAAGGACGGTGTTGCACCGCCGGACTCAGCTGGTTGATCCACCGTAGGCGGCAGGACTTCCCAGAGCGCCCCGGTATTCCAGTGCTTATGACGGCCCAATTACAAGGACCGTGTTGCTCCACCAGCCTCATCAGCGTCGCATCCTCCTCCGGACTCCACGAACCTCTGATCTTATCACCACCACCACGGCCACTCTCCGCCATATGATTATTCATCTCCTTCATCTCTTTGAATGAATTGAAAATCAAGAACAAAAAACTGAACAAGTGGAGATTGATTGATTGAGCGAGCTAGGGTTTGGGTTTATGAGATGTTGCATGTAATAGGGGAATTGGGAATGAATGAGGAAGAAGAAGTTGGTTTGTTAGGAGGGGGGGTCGTGGGTTGTAAGTTACAACTGCTTTCTGCTTCTGTGACGCGACTTTGATTAGTAACGGCTCCGAAACTTTGGCAGTTGGGTTTCTGTTTCGTGTTTATCCCCTCAACAGCTTCCCAACAATCAACACATTTCTATATATTTTTTAATATATATATTCTGTATTTTTTATTTTTATTTTTATTTTTTTATTAGAGAGAGAGAGAGAAAGTAGAGCTGGGTATTTTTGTACACTATGATCTCGTTTGTAAAATTGACTATTTTAGTAAGTTATTTTAATTTTTAATTATTTTAGTAGATTAAAATAGTTATATTTGAAAAAATGATTGAATTTTTTTATAATTGGGTGTGATATTTGTAAGAAAAAAAAGTAAAATGATTATAATTTGATGTGATATTTTATTTTATTAATTATTTTAACCGATTTTACTTTTTTTATAAATTTAAATTAAAAAAATCCCAAATCCAAATTGCCTAATACACCCTGTATATAGAATACAAATGGCTTGTTCTGGATATGATAAGTGATGAGTTGCAAGTTGAACTGTTTTGTATTGTGGTATTAAACTGTATAACAAAACAATTATAGTTTGTATTGTGTGGAGCACTATATATCACTAATTAACTGCGAGAGATTATGCTACATATTTATAATTAAAAAAAATAAATGACATAATTTTATATTTTATGAGTCATAATTAAAATAAAATAAGAAAATCATAATCAAACAATATATGAGATATAATTAAATATCTCATGAATCATAACTAAAATAAGATTATAACTAAAAAATATGACGTAATTTAAGAGTGCATGGAATAGGGAGGGTTTATAGTAGAATTTTCCCTACTTAACTATTTCTTCATAAGGTGAAATTATTCAGTTGATCTGGTGTATCATGTTATCATGTTGATGTAATATGCCACACTATTGAAATTATATAAAGTGATAGTTATTGATAAAATTCTTAAAAAATTTCATGTATTGTGATTATTTATTTCATGTATTATTTTCATGGATAAATTACACTGATACTTTCTAATGTTTCTATTTAATATAAATTTTTCTCTCACGTTTGAAAAATTAAACTTATCCTTCTGTCAGATTAAAATGACATATTTGCCCTTAGCCTTTATACATATGAAATTATAAAATAATAAAATAATACTGATATTTTGTTCATGTCCTTTCAAGAGAAATAACAATCATCTTCTTTGGTTTAACTCACACAAATTTTTTTTTCGTTTTTACATTTTTTTTTATTTTTACTATTTTTTAATATTTTAATTAATTTTTTTTATTTTTTAGATGCATCTAATCTATATACTTAAGGAGTATAATATTTTGTGATTTTTTTTAAATTCACCAAATACCAAAAAAAAAATACAAAAATAAAAAAATTTAGTAATACTGTAATAAATGTGAATGACGGTGTTTGATAATACTGTAATATTTTGTTCATGTCCTTTCAAGAGAAATAACAATCATCTTCTTTGGTTTAACTCACACAAATTTTTTTTTCGTTTTTACATTTTTTTTTATTTTTACTATTTTTTAATATTTTAATTAATTTTTTTTATTTTTTAGATGCATCTAATCTATATACTTAAGAAGTATAATATTTTGTGATTTTTTTTAAATTCACCAAATACCAAAAAAAAATACAAAAATAAAAAAATTCAGTAATACTGTAATAAATGTGAATGACGGTGTTTGGTAATACTGTAATAAATATGGATGAATAGACGTTTAAGAAAAATGATGGTGGAAATAAAAATAAAAAATTCTATTCATATATAAAAATTTATACAAAAAATAACATAAAAATATTGTGATAGTAATGTTATTGTAAATATAAATCATATTTATGGATGTTTTGTTTTAAAGTAAAAGGTTACCATTGAGTTATATCATTGTGTTTGAAAATTTTATATAAAATTTATGGTTGTATATTACTCAATAATAATATGTTCAAGTAGAATTTAATAGCGGAAAGTTACGAAATGTAGTTATGATGATAGAAAGAAGAAAATGTAGAAAAAAAGGTAAAATGGTCATTTGGAAATTTGAAGAGATAATATCATCAATTCAGGAGATAATTTGTAATGTGGTGACAATATAATTTACCCTATTCTCATTGACCCGGCACATTGCTGACTAGATATGCCAACCCCATAAAATAACTTCCCATTGATTATAGAGATCAAATACATTTCACTTTCTTAGCATTCGTTTGAGATATAGGTTGTATTTTTGACTTTTTGTCCTTTTAGTTATTTTAGTCTGTATTTAAAAGTCTTATTTGGAATAAGTTTTTTGATTTTTTAACTTTTCTGAGAGAAAAAATAAAATAATTATAATTTAGATATGATATTTTATTTTATTAAACTAAAAAACCTATTTTATTGTTTTATGACTATTTTAGCCAAAACATGACATGTGCCTAATTTTATGGAAATTGAATGGAAAACATGTGCCTAATTTTATTACTCTTCCTGTTTAAAAATATAGTTCTTTTTTGAAGAATTCAATTTTTTTTTTTTTTTATAGTATACTCGTTGTACTTAAGTTTTTTGGATTAAGTTTTTTGAAAATTAAGTTTTTTTATTTTCGTATTTTTTTTGTTTTTAGTGAATATTTTTAAAATTTTAAACATTTTTTTTATTTTTTTAGATGCATCTTACTTAGATGTATCTAAAAAGTAAAAAAATTGTGAAAAAATATTTTAAAAAATTAATAAATACATAAAAATACAAAAAAAATATATACTGAATTCTCGTATTTTTTTATATTTTTGGTATTTAATGAATTTTTAAAAGATTTTTTTCATAATTTTTTTACTTTTTAAGTATATTTATGTTAGGTATGTCTAAAAAGTAAAAAAAAAATTGCATAAAATATTTTAAAAAATTAGTAAAAACAAAAAAATACGGAAAACAAGAATTTAGAATTTTCTAAAAGTGTTTTTGGAAAAATGGAACCAAACAAAGTGTAATTTTCCAAAATTATTCTTTGATAGTACATTTTTTAAGGAATATCAATTTTCATAATTGTACTTTTTGTGTTATTAATGAATTTAAAAGAATGGCAAAATATAAAATTCATATTATTTTAATTATTAATTTTTGAAAATAGACCAATATTTTAGGATAATAAAAAACAAAATAAGGGATTAATATTTTGGGACGGAAGAAATAGTGTTTTTCACATTTTTAAAGAGATAAAAGTAATTTAATAAAACAATAATATGCCAACTGTACGGGGGGCAAATATTTGGTACCACCCGTATTCCTTGTCTCCAAGCTCCGCTTCGATCCAATTAACCTACGAGCACAACGGCGGTGAGCTACCCGCCGGTGTGTTGTCGGAAAATCCCTCCGACGGTCAAGTTAGCACACACTCAGAGATAGAGGGAGAGAGGAAGAGAGTTTCTCTCACCAGATGAAGTTTCATCCTCAGCATGGGAGGCGTAGTCACGTTTACATACCTTCTGCACGTGTCTCTGCGTCTATTCGCCTTTCGACACATGGACCTGCTCCCCTATCCTACTTTCCCACGTGTCAACACAAATACAGCTAAACACCACCTAACTAAACTGTCAAACTGCATTGGCGCGAACGGATAACCCAGCGACACTACCTCATCTTCCTACGACCGTATTAATTTCGGGACATGCAATGCTTTGAGCTGAGCTCCGTTATGACCGAGCTTAGCAGCCCCCTGTAATGATTGAGCACTTGATCGGTTGGCCGATCTGCGGAGGATCTTGTACGCCGATCTCAACCAACAAACAACGCGAACCGGGCTAGCAGAGAAGTTATCCCGGCCAAATCGGACCTGGGCTTTAACCGAGCGCATTGCACCTGGATTGTCCCAGCCCAGCTCGTCCCAAACATGCTCGGACTAATTTTAGCCCGGTCATTACCACGGCTCAAAGCCAGATTATGAAATCTCCCTCATACTAACGTAATATTATTATTTGATAACAAATTGTTATATATATAGATAATCAAATCTACTCTATTATGTATTATATTGAATGTTTATGTACCTATTTTTTCTAGTATTTTTCACTTTTTACACTGATTTATACAATACTATGTGTATATTTAAAATCTTGTATACTTAAAATTGACGTGTCTTACATATAAGTAAATATATATTGTTGGTTTGTTCTTAGGGGTTGTTTGAGGTGTCTTAAATAAGTGCACTTTTTGTCTTTTTGAACTAAAAAATTGAGGAAGAAAATATAGATGTTTGAGTTAACTTTTTAACTTTTTATGAAAAAATATGTAATAAAAAATTGTAAAAATTGATTTGTAAGAGAAAATTAGAATTGGGAGTTGTGCAGCCGTAATTATTGACTTTTGATGAATAGTGTTAACTTTTTAACTTTTTGAATAATTTTTTAACTTTTTAACTTATTCTAAACTTGTCAAACTTGGCCTTAGTCACAGACTCACAATCCATCAGGGATGGGTGAGTTGTTAGTTGAGAGGTTTTGGAATCCAACTTTATAAAAACATTTAGCATGTGTTGTGGTAAGTTGTATGTATAACTAATTATCTACCTTAATTAGGGAGGGAAGTTACATTTCTCTTTAATGATACAAAGTTGTTGCTCTAAATAAAAAATAACATGTGCCTAATTTCATGAATGTTTGTCACCTCTTACAAGAGATTAATAATTTGAAATTACATCATTATCATACAGACATAATTACGAAAATTTATTATCCAGATGAATAATACTATATATATCAATTAATATACTAACTAATATACTAACTGATGATGTGACATAATTTTAAAAAATTTAAGTATTTGTAATTTATATAATAGGTAGGGTCAATAATAATGTCATAACACTACTTGATATACTAACTAATATATTAATTAGTATGGCCCCGTTTGTTAGAGCTGTGGACAAGTGATTATAGATTATAACTTTATAGCTTATAACTTATAACTGTAAACATAAGCTGATTTTTGACTTGTAAATTAAGTTTCTCCTCCCCCACTCAAA